CCCTTTCTGAGGCTTCTTGTGGGCAAAAATCGTCCATGGTTCACTTTGACTCATTGGAACATTAACTCCATCATTAGTGTCTTTGCCATCAATAACCAAAGACGCTTTCCTGATTGCTTGAGAAGGCTTCTTTTCTACCAACATTTACCAAAATAAGCCATCCTAATTTAATTATTAGAAAAATTAAACCCCTCAAACTGATAACCTCAACCACATTTCAAGGGAAAGTAGAAAGCTCCCAAATGATTAGTGATAGCAAACGAGCATACTATCGCTGCAACAAAGACACTTAAGGCACCTGAAACATTACCCTTGATTGAAAGCTTCTTTCCTTTCATGACAATTTTAGCATCAAGTTCACCCGATAATGTCTTAGTCTTTCCTGTCAACGAGATGCTTTGAGCAGAAATGGAGGAAAGTTGTTCATCTTCCAAATGAGAACTTTCACCTACATGCTCAAAGGATATCCATTCTTAGGAAATGAGCAACTTACCATTGAACTGAAAGAGGTTTTCAGAAACAAGGAAGAGAAGAAACAAATCAGAAAACGGGTAGCAAGCATTTCCATATTAAAGTTGATTTTCTTATCTTTCTCCATCTTAGCAGCTAAAAGCCAAAGCTTAATAGAACACTGAAAGAAACAATAAAAATTGATCTCAAAATTAAATTTGCATACCATCTAATTGCTTATCCAAATAACTCTTCAACGCAGACACAAGGTCACTCTTGCAACCTTTGGCAGGGAGGCCAGCATTCCTGAGAATTTAAAATCATAATATCAAAATCAATTCATATGGACAAAAGCATTCATTAAGAATAGTTTAGACCCCAAAGCACTGCACGGCAGACAAGGAACTAATCCAACCAGTTAAAGCAGTTACATGCATAATGTTTTATCCCACAGCTTCTTTGTGGCTTATTCTCTCTATCATCAATGGCCTTAAAGAATTTAGGATATGTGCACAATGCACTACTTATGTTCATGTAGGGGAAGGTATCACAAGGAAGCGATGAGAGGGAGATCGAGAGAGAGAGGGCGAGGCTGGGAGAGAAGGGTCGACAGCAGAACACGAGGACAGCGGACAACACAGCGGTATGAGGGTATCCAGATGCAGAGCAAGGATCGGCCAATGCAGTTTTATGGGGGTTTTGAGAAGAAAGTATACAATCAAGCAACTCCATTCTTCTTCACAAACTTTCCAGAAGACTGGACTTTTGAACAGATGTGGAGAACTTTCAACAGGTTGGACGGGGGTAGGGTGATCGAGATTGAATGCCCAAAGAAGAGGGATCGGCTGGGAAGGAGATTTGGGTTTGTTAGATTCTTGGAGGTTAAAGATACTGGTGAGCTGGAAAGAAAGTTGAATCAGATTCAAATTGCAGGAATCAAACTTCAAGCCAACAAACCACGGTTTGGAAAAACATGGCATGAAAAACAGCACCACTGGAACACAGAAAATATAAGGAGAGGGATGGTTAAAGATGATACTGAATGGCAACAGAAAAAGTCTTATGCGGGTGCAGTTAAAGGAATGACAGCAGAAAACAAAGTGCATGGAATGAGAAGGGGACACTTCCACGGAGTGGAAGGAGGGGATCATACCAAAACTAACAGTGCAAATGAGCAAAGAAGATGGAGATGGAAGCCTAAAATACAACCACAAGCATGGACAGGAATGGAGCTCAAAGTTAACAAGGAAGAGTACCAGTGGCTGGAGAAATGTTTTGTTGGGACTGTTCATTCCATAACCTTGATTCCAACTTTGCAGGAGAAATTTTATATGGAAGGAGTCTTTTACTGCAAGATCAGAGCAATGGGAGGAAGGTTGGTGCTGATAGAAGGAAATGAATATGAAGACTTAAAGGAGCTGGTCGAAAATGGCAAAGATTGGTTAGGAAATTGGTTCGAAGAAATCAAACCATGGTCACCAAACATGGTGGCAAGGGAGAGGTTCGCATGGATTAGATGCTTGGGATTACCTCCACACGCATGGAAGACGGACTTTTTCCAATCACTCGGAAATCTGTGGGGCACTTTTGTTTCGGTGGATGATAGCACAAGCAAGAAAAAACGCCTTGACGTCGCTCGATTCCTCTTATCAACGCCCGTAACGGAATCCATTTCAAAATCTTTATCAATAAAGGTTAATGGAATCATTTTTACAGTTAAGTTCTCTGAGGAGGAGTCCAGCAACGGGATGCATGTCATGAATACAAATTTTAAGATTAAAGAAGCTTATGAGGAAGGCGAGGAATCTTCAACGGACGGATCTGTCGGTATAGATTTCAACATGCCTGGAATGGAAGCTGCAGAAAATAGAGGATTTGAAGAAGATGATGACGTGGAGATTCAATTAGGAGTGCAGGAGACAAATCAGCAAGAGGCGGAGAGAAATATGGACACGGTGGCATCATTAGAGGGGGACACATCAATTGTTAAGAAGAATGGTCAACCAAATGGACAAGAAAGGAGCGTGTTAGGTTCTGGAGAAGCAGCAGAAGATGAAGATTTGGTGTCAGCGGGAACAGCCGAAAAGCAGCAGAGTTTAGGGAGCGCAATGGGTAGTTTGGAAGGGCTTACAAGCAAGCAATTAATGAGTGATGGGCTCGAGAAGGAAGAGGGACAAGTCCAGCTGGAGACGGAAACATGCAGAGAGAGTATTGGGAACAACCACAGTTTCAATAATGGGGAAAGGAGAGAGATAGGGGGGGAGAAAATTTCAAAAATAACAATGGACAAAATTGCAAAAGGAAATGGGCCGGGTGGGCTCAATGATGAGATGGATCCAGGTATAAGTAGTAACGGGCCAATATTGGGTAGTAAAAATCAAGAAGTGCAAAGCCTATATCAGATAAGTAAAGAAACCAAAGAAAAATTAAAAGAGGGCAAGCACGTGAGGCCAAGAGCAACAGAATCAGACCTGTTCTGGGAAGACATGGACAGCGACGCAGGGGACTTACCAGAGTGGGCAAAAGTTCTTGAAGGGAAGAAGAGCAAAAAGAAAAAAAGGAGAGTGAAGCTGTGCCGTTCAGTGTATATGAAATCTGGCGGGCTTGAAGGTGTTCTGGTGCAGAAGAAGAACAAGAAGAAGGGAACTCAATCAGTGACAGAGAAAATGACGTAGCAAATCATATTCCAGGCTGATCCAGCGGACTCAGTTGCAGGTGACTCCATAAATGACAGTAATATACAAAACTGCAACAAGGGGATTAGAGTGAAGAGCAAAATTAAAGACTCCGAAGCTTTATGGAGCTATATCAAGGAGTTGGGAGTTGCAATGAAAGGGGATGAGCTACCGGCAATCCGAAGGCTTGAAGAAATGGAGCATCGAGACAAGGAAAGAAGAAGGAAAGATATGACAACACCGACAACAAGAAATCAGGTGCTTGCTAATTCCCCATGATTGTGCTATCTTTAAACATTAGGGGGTTGGGGGGATGCGGGAAAAAGAGGGAAATTCGTGAGCTGGTGAATAAACATAGACCGGAGGTTTTATTCTTGCAAGAAACAAAAGTAGAAAATGTGGATAAAAGTTATTGTAGAAGGTTATGGGATTCAGATGACATGGATTGGGTAGCAAAATCATCCTTGGGTGCCTTGGGTGGTTTAATTATCATATGGAACAGGGCAGTGCTACAGAAAGTAAGTGTTTTTGAAGGGGAGGGATACATCGGGATCCAGGGGTTATGGGGTGCTGATGCCTTACCATGCTTTCTGTGTAATGTGTATACCCCATGCGATCTTGAGAGGAAGAGGAGTGTATGGAGAGAACTTGAACAAATGATTAGGAAGAACAGGGGGTGTTGGTGTCTTGGTGGGGATTTTAATGCTATTAGAAGTTTGCAGGAAAGAAAGGGGGGTAAGAGCGCCAGGAGAGAAGTAAAGGAGTTTGAACAATTTATAGTGAATAACAGCCTGACAGATTTACCATTGCTAGGAAGGAAGTACACATGGTACCAGC